TCCAAGCAAATCACCACCACTGCCCCATCCTTCCTCCAAGAGCTTTTTATGATTTCCAGTTTGAACGGAAATTGTCTCTTCTTTTTTTCTTTCTTTTCTTTTTTTTTGGGGGGGGCAGGGGTGGGGGTGGTACCTGGGATTGGACTCAAGGGCACTTGGACACTGAGCCACATCCCCAGCCCTATTTTGTATTTTATTTAGAGACAAAGTCTCAATGAGTTGCTTAGCATCTCACTTTTGCTGAAGCTGGCTTTGAACTCGGGATCTTCCTGTGTCAGCCTCCCAAGCCACTAGGATGCCACCATACCCAGCGTCTTCTTCATCCCCTCAGAAGCTCACACCTCCTACCCTGGTGAGCCCAGACAATGAAAATCAGGCCCCTACCCCAGGAAAGACCAGAGGCTCGCTAAAAGAAGATGGCACAGGACAGCCTGTGGAAGTTCAAGAGTGAGGTGTCCTGTTCTATCCTTTTTATCATCCCCACCTTCTCAATCTCTGCAAAAAGAAGGAGGGATGCCAAAGTGTCATTTGGGAGGAGTTGCTGCAGTTGTGGTAAGAATTATACATCTGAGAAGGCTTCCATGAGCAAATTGAGAAATGAACTGGCCCTGAGGTAGGTCTGTTCCTTAAGAGGCAATAGATTCAGGGCAAGAGTCGACATGAAAGCAGAAAAAATTACAAAACCAGAGCTCTGTCTAAACTGGGTGTAATGGATGAATCTGACAGGTAGCTCAGGACAGGGGAAAAAGAGCTCCCACATAGCTGGGAAGCTTACAACTCAGTACAGTGCTGAGGTGGTGGCAGCTTTAATACAACAAATGTGTTGGACTGGAAAATTCCCTGAATTTTTATTAGATGTAAATTAAATTTTTATAAATTTTATCTTTTAATAGAAAAATATTTGACAATCCCTAGACCTGTTATGACTGTGGTTTCTGAATATTTTTCCTGTTGGTGTAAAGTTTTTTGTTTTTGGTTTTTTTTTTTTTCGTTGTAGATGATCTTTATTTTATTTATTTATATGTGATGCTGAGAATCAAACCTAGTGCCTCACACATGCCTGGCAAGCACTCTACTACTAAGCCACAACCCCAGCCCTGGTGTAAGTTCTAAAGGGGAAAATGAGAGAGAAATAAGTGAACTGGATTCTTGCTCTGTTCTGCCCTCCCTAGGGAACACTTCTCAGATACCAGGAGGAGACTAGAGGGAGGAGAGGGAGAGGAGGAGCTGCCTATATTCTTTCCCAGCTATGAATCTGTTTTAGCTCCTGAATAGATGCCACTCTCCCCAAGCTGGGAGCCTTACCTTCCATGTTATTCTGAGAAATGTACAGACAGTCTGGCAGGGGGTCCTTAGGGAGCTGCTCTAGGCCCAAGGAAATATCTAAAGATACTCAGATATGAATCATTAGCTTAGAGTCAATGAGATGTGTAGGCCAGGTGCAGGACTTCCTTCTCTGTCTTTTGATCTGTGCCAGACACAGAGTAGGTGGGCAGTAAAAGTTTAATTGGATGACTTACCTACAGAATGAAACGATGAATACTAAATTTCATAGTAATCCATCAAAGATGTTAGAGAGAAAGAAGGGTTACCTATACATTAAAATGTGCTTAAAAGCATATCAATTAAGGAAATTTATGGACTTAATTTGGATTTTTAAAAAATTAGTTGTTGATGGACCTTTAGTTTATTTATTTAGTTTTATGTGGTGCTGAGGATCAAACCCAGTACCTCACACATACTAGGCAAGTGCTCTACCACTGAGCCACAACCCCAGCCCCTGATTTGGATTTTTATTCAAGCAGCAAATAGTGAAATAATTGGGAAATGTGAACACTGGCTAGATATTTGATATTTTTCTTAACCCTACAGAGTATTTTTTTAACTTTAAATGTTGTCATCATTTTTAAGTAAGAGGTTTTACATTAAAATCCAGATTCCAAGCTTATTTTTTAAAAATAGGGAGCTCTGATCCCAAATGGACCCATCTCCCCACTCAGGAACTGTGTGCTGTGGTGAAGGCGTACTGGTCTTTTGAAAGTAAAACAAGGACTATCTGGTTCCCTAGGCCCCCATCTCAAGCCCAAAATAAGTGCCACTTCTTCCCTTGACATCTCAAACAGGACTAATGTCTCATCCTTCTCAACTCTTAGAACCTATCATAATTAGTTAACCAGCTCCTTGTACTTTTGTTTGTGGATGTCTTATCTCCCCTCCTTCTCTCACACCCAGGCTAGACTAAAGTTTTAACAGAATCTGAATACTGAAAAGATTGTGTAGGGTGCTTCCCCATATGTAGTTCCCAATCAATTTTATGTTTCTAAGTAAGCTGAAGACAAACTTTCAAGATTAAGAAATGAAAAAGAAAAACCTATAGAAGAGTTGAAAGAATGGCAAAATGAACTCATGTGACTGTCCAGATTTTTAATATTTTTTGGTATTTGCTTTTATCTGGTTTTCTCCCCTAACTCCTCCTCATCAGTGTGTTTCAAATATTATGAGGCTTCACCTCCAAATTCTTTTTTAAAAAAATATTGTTTAGTTGTCAATGGACCTTTGTGTTATTTATTTATTTTTTTAATTTTTATTGTTGGTTGTTCAAAACATTACATTGTTCTTGACATATCATATTTCACACTTTGATTCAAGTGGGTTATGAACTCCCATTTTTACCCCGTTATTTATTTTTATGTGGTGCTGAGAATCAAACCCAGTGCCTCACACATGCTGGGCAAGCACTCTACCACTAAGCCACAACCCCAGCCCCACACCCAAGAAATTTGACCTTTATGCAGTATTATCTATTATACCATTTATATTCAAAATCTTCCAACTATCCCAATAATGAATGTCATTTAGAGTTATTTTTAAATCCAGATTCTATTCAAGGATCATGCGCTGCATTTGGTCTCTTTAGACTCTTCCAAACTAGAACACTTTCTTGATGTTTCAGTCTTTCATGACATTAACATTTTGAAGTATCTAGGACCATTGTTTTGTAGATTAAGTTACAGCCTCGCTTTGTCCAAATATTCTATCATTTCTAGATTTGAGTTCCACATTTTTGCAAGAAACCACAATGGTGATGTTGTTTTCTAGATTTTCTATTTGTGAAGTTTCCAATGAATTAAAACCCAATTCATCAAAGTTGAATTTGGGTTTGTGTATGTGTATGTACTTTGCTGGTGCCCTAACCACAGGTGTGTCATAATAATAATCATGGCACCATGATCACTGTATTTACTTAGAAGCAGGGCTTCTAGTGTTGTTGATTACTTCCTCACCAATACTTATTGTTCAGTCTTTAATTTGTGCCAAATCTGTAGGTGTAACATGATATTATTCGGTGCTTTTTATTTGTATTGACTACTAAAGACTGAGCATTTTTCAATATGTATTGGCTATTTGTGTTTTCTACTGAGAGGCGTGTTTATGCCTTTTGCCAATTTTTTGGAAGTTGTTTTATCTTACATACATTTAGATCTTTGAATTCTGAATACTAATCATTTATACATTTTCTATGTCTCAACTCTCATGAACCAGTATTACAGAAGGCATAAGCACATGAATACTGTAGTGAAACATTTTGTTCAGATTCCAGTTTTGTCACTTATGTGTGGCTCCGGACAAAAGATTTAACATCTCTCTGCTTTATGTAAAAATGAGGTTGATAATGGTACATATGTCATAGGTTAGGAGGGGGACTAAATGAGTTAATACATGTAGTGAAGTAAGAACAGTACATGGATCTGGGTGTGGTGGCACACATTGTAATCCCAGTGGCTCAGAGGCGGAAACAGGAGGATCCCAAATTCCAAGCCAGCCTCAGCAACTTAACAAGGCCCTGAGCAACTTAGTACGATTCTGTGTCTAAATAAAATATAAAAACGGCTAGGGATGTGCTTAGAGTTTAAGTAACCCTGGATTCAATTCCTGGTACAAAAAAGAAAGAAAGAAAGGAAGGAAGGAAGAAAGGAAGAAAGAAAGAAAGAAAAAGAAAAGAAAGAAAGAAAAAGAACAGTACATGGCACATAATAACAATAAGTGTTTGGCATTTTAGCTTCTTCCATTTTATAGCTTCCATGTTTTTTATTTGTACTTATTAGCTATACATCATAGTAGAATATATTTTGAAATATTATACATATATGGAGTATAACTTCTTATTCTTCTGGTTATACAGGATGTAGACTTACATTGGTTGTGTAATCATACATATACACACAAGATAGTAATGTGCTATGTCATTTTGATGTCTGATTCATTCTGAGACTCAGTGGGCTTATTCAAGTGCTGTCCTATAAGTGGTCTCCTGCTCCATTTTGAGGCTCTCCTGCAGCCCCAACCATAAACCCTTTCCTTTCAACCATGTGTCATAACACACAGTAATAATACATTAATGCCAGGGGTGAGTGCATCTTGTATAGGCAAGTGTCCATGAAATCATGTTCTTCAAGCCAACTTAGTTTGTCCTGTGAATGGGAAAAATATTCTGCAACCTCAAAAGCCTCACTCCAAATCTGGAGATTCATGCCAATAAGTGCTCTGTTTTACTTTAAAGGTACACACATATCCCAGTGATTTTTCACTCAACTTTGAGGCCCAATGGCGTCATCATTTGGTCTGCAACCAGGTAAGATAGTCTCTCCTCACAATAGAGCCCCTAGCACCTCACAGCAACGTATCCTCCCATCCTGTCCCTGGGCCTCTTCCCTCAACTCAGGCCTTTGTGGTTCAAAGACTAGTAAACTGGTGATACAAGTGCTCGGTGGAGGCACTCCGTAAATGTACCCTAACTAAATGAATGGATGGGGAAGGGTGGAATATTAATGCGTTGCTAGGTAGAGATGAAAAAAGGAGAACAGGAATGTTGGATGGGCAAGTAGGCTACTGATTGGCTAGCACCCAGGATGCGCAGGAGTACAGCACGAAAATAGGAGAGGGTTTCTTCAGATAAATTAGCCACTGCCCAGTCGGTGAGGCGACCAGTTGTGTGAAGAGCCGCGCTGCCTAGATTGAGGGTTCCACGGTGGCGCGGTGGCTCTCCGGGCCCCGCCCCGCCCCGCCCCCCGGGGTCCAGGCCGCGTTCCCCTCGGAGGCTACGGCAGCGCCTGCGCATTGCGGTTCCAGAGTCACCAGTGGGTCCCATCTCGCCTCCGAAGATGGCGGACCACACTGTCGCCGGCCCCAGCGGCAGCACATCCTTGCGGGGACTTCGAGAACGTATGGGTGAGCTGGCCGGTGGCTCTCAGGTTAACTCGGGCCATCACGGGAGGTGGGCTTCCCAGGGCCCTAGAGGCCAAAGGAGCCGCGGCGCGAGTTCCACAAAACTTTTCTCCGGAGTCGCCACGCGCGGTCCGGTCCTTCCTTCACCCCCGCGGGAATCCCCGGGGATGGAACTCGGGGAGTCCTGAGCAGGGGGCGGGAGGGGAAACGACTGTCCAGACCTGCCAGTGGTTGAAGTCCCGCTGCCAACGGCCAAACTGTCGCTGCCAATGGCCAAAGTCCCGCGGGCTGGGCGCGAGTGAACTAACGGGCACTGCCCAGGCGGGTGGGGCCCGCGCGGCTGGAACCTCGGACTCCGCCATTGGCCCCGAGCCTCGCCGTTGGAGGACGGAGGACACCCGTGCGACCGGCCGAACGGATGCTCAGCTACCGGGGATGTGCGGGAGACCCAGACCCCGCGCACCCGCGCCGCCACTGCGGCTGGGGCAGCGCTTCCAGCCTTGGAAAGTTTGAGTTTTTTCCCAGCCTGAGGCGTTCACACCCTTCTGGTCAAAGTCCAGGAAGGAAGGAGCTGTGGGTGGGGGGGTTTAAAGTTGGGAAGAAACTTGGCTCTCTGTACCTCCTGATTTGCCTTGCTGTAGCACATGACTTCGACAAGATGTCACCTTCCTGGGACATTTTGCAGTCCCTAGGCTGAGCAGTACTTAAGAGTGTTTTCATCTCAACAGATCCCATCGTCAGAAAGTTTTTCCCTCCTAAAAAAAAAAAAAAAAAAACACGAACAAACAACAAAAACACAGTAATCAAACGTGGCAGTGCGTTGTTTGATTCGGGATAGTGCGCTCCTACCTGAGCCAGAGTGTTTCTTGCTCACGGGAGGGTGTTTTAAGCCTGTCCTCAGTAATTACCTCTGCTATGAGCGTGAATAAAACGGTTTTATTGGTTTTTTAAAAAAAATTCCTTTTTTTCATTTGCAATTAAGAACTTAATTTAGATTGAGATTGGGAGGCTATATGATACTAAACAAGACTTTGAATCAACTTTCCAAAGAATATATCAGAAAGAAATTCACTTTCATTGTTCCGTAGGGAAAAAAGACTATACCTTCTGCGTCTATGTTTGGTTCACTCAGAGTTTGCAGTAACTTGTAGTGCTTATTGACACCTTAGGCCCTCTGATAGTAAATTATCAAGGATTGAAATTAACCAGCATGTATTCCAATATGTTGGAAAGAGCATGTGTTCTAATATGTTGTCTGTATATCCACTAAAAACATTTGTATATTGAGTTTTGGAAAATGTTTTAAAATTATGGAAAGTTGTCTTAATTTACAGCATTTCAAACTTCAAAAATATCATGCAAAAAAGCCTTAACCCTTCTAGAACCCTAGTTTACAGCATAGTTTACATCCTTGCTGCCCCTTTCATATTCACAATCAAAAACATCACATGCTAGACTTCCACAAAGCACTAGCTTGACTAGAAATGCCCTCATGGTGTCAGCATTTTCCTGAAGGGGTCAATGAGACAATGGAATGTTTTTGCTAGAAGGTCAATTTCATCTCCTACTGGGAGCCTAGCTGCATGAATTAAAATAGAACAAATAACTTATGTAGGTGCACAGTAAACTCTACACATATTTATTTTATACATTTATACATGTATGCATTAATATATATATATATATATACATTATATACATGTACATGTATATACACTATATAAATGTGTGTGTATATGTACATTTACTGAGTTACGTTTCTCTGTGTAGCACTATGCTAAGGTTGTAGTATTATATTGACAAGAGACATGTTTCACACTTTTATACAGAATTGTTTTAAAATAAAGTTTATTTGAATATTTCAGCCAGATGAGCATAAGAAACTTTGCTCCTGACATGTCACCTTTTCCTTCTTATTTTTTAAATCTGCACATGATTTCTCAGTGTAGAGTTTATTATTCCAAGAAACAAATGCAGAAAAAGCCACTGAGACTGAAAGCCACATTATCATAGAATTTGAGAGCTGGAGTAATCTTAAATTTAGTTCAGAAGTCAGTATCCCAGCTAGAAAATTCTGGGCAGGTTCTACAACTGGACCATATACTGTAATGGGGAATTGGCTGTTTTTCCACATAGCCATTCTATTCTAGACAGCTCTAAATGGTAGAAAATTGTCCCTAATTTTTATTGTCTTTAAGATATTGGTTTGACTTTGTGTGTGTGTTGGGGGGGGGAGGTGTCTTCTGAAAGTACTTATCCTTAGGACTTTGGCTGTTGCTGTTTTAGGCAAAATTCTGCAATCTACCTTTGTGTGTGTGTGTGTGTGGTTCCCTGATTGCAAATTTGTGTTCCTATTAGTTTTTTCTTAATACTTTAATATTTCAAAATTAGTTGCTTTTTAAAGTACAGTTAATTCCTGGCTTTATCACTTACTATTTTTCTCTGTGATCTGGGAAAGTTATGTTTAGCTTCAGTTTATTCATTGGTGAATATAAAAATGTGCACTTCATAGAATTGCTAAATGAAGTAATACAAATGAACTTTGTAGATTGCAAAGTGATATGTATTATTTGGTATGGTAGTTGTATAAATATTAAGACTCATAATTCAGTTATTTAATTTTTTAGTTATAGATGGACAAAATATCTTTATTTTGTTTATTTATTTTTATGTGGTGCTGAGGATCGAACCCAGCACATCACATTGCAAGGCAAGCGCTTTGCCACTGAGCCACAACCCCAGCCCTATTTAAATTTTTTTAACCTCATTCAATTTTAGTAATATTCTTCAATTTCCAGGCAAAAGGTGGCTTGGTCCCTTACTTTGATTTTAGAGTTGGGATAACAAGTATAGAAATAATATAGTGTTGTATACTTACTGTACCTTGCCATTACTTTTTCTTTTTCCCTTCAGGGCTGGGAATGGACCCCAGGGCCTCATATGCTAGGCAAGTGCTCTGAGCTATCATCCATTGCCCTTGCTGTTACACACACACACACACACATATATATATATATATATACATATATATATATGTATATTTATATATATACATATATATGTATATATATATACATACATACACATGTATGCATTAATACTTCAAATGAATGTTAAACAAATTATCTCATTCAGTGAAGTTGAATGAAGTGAATCTGGAAGGAATTGAATCTGGACATAATCTCTCATTACCTGGACATTTAAAATAATTTTTAAAGCCTGTCTTTTTTGTGAACATATTTCTTGCCAGTAGGAATTTGTATACAATGATCTAAAAATCGGGTTTAATATTATTATTATATTAGTCTTTATATGATTTAGTTCATTAATCCCACCGCAAGTACTTCTAAGGTTATGTGGTATAAGATTTTTATGGGCTGAGGTTGTGTGGCTCAGTGGCAGAGTGCTTGCCTAGCATGTGTGAGGCATTGGTTTCCATCCTCACACCACATTAAAAAATAAATAAAATAGTTATTATGTCCATTTACAACCAAAAATTTTAAAAACGATCTTTAGAACCTGGTAAAATTGTACCTTTTGAATGAAATTGTCTTATGGTCAGCTAAATTGTAAAATTCGGAGTCCAATTCTTAGGACTTCTAAGTAGGAGAATTGAATGTGCAAAAACAATACTGTGTTCACAAAAATGTGAGTGGGGAAGTATGTGGAAGGGTTCAATTTATAGACTATTTGTAAAAATTACTGTCTCCACATAATTACCAGTAGTTGAATTATCAAGAAAGAGGAGAAGAGTCTCATCTTCAAATTTAGTCAGGTCCTAGATTATCTGAGCTGTTAGGTCCATGGGTCAAAAAATATCCCTTTTCTCTCTTGAAATAGTGATCCCTATGGCAGCATTTGTGATGTCACTTTCAAGGTTACCCTGTAAAACAACTCCCATGTAGCTTAAGTGCAAGGAAAGCACCTCTTTTCCCTTATTTTTAATATTTTTAAAACTTTTACTTATTTTATATTGTGCTGAGGATTGAACCTAGTGCCTCACATGTGCCAGGCAAGTGTTCTACCATTGAGCTACAACCTCAGCCCCCTTTTCCCTTATTTGTTTTGATTGCCCATCTTTGTTATATTTTTCCTATACCTAACAATCAGACTTGTGTGCAGTTTCAAAGGTGCATATTTTCTGTGCTTTTATACAGGAGTAAAACAGTTTTCAGTGTTATTCTCCATACCCTTCCTAAAAAAGTCCAGGATTGTGGAGTATTTTAGATACAACCATCATGGAATCAAAGGGTTCAGAGATCCCCTATAATAACTCTCATGTGTATCATTTTATAGTCTTTCTTACTTTATCTCAAGTTGCAGTTTCCTAATCTTGCACATAGTCCTTACTGAAGTTTATTTTCTCTCTTTTCTGCCTGTTGATATATGTTAGCAACTTTGCACAATTTGTATTGCTTTGCTTGACGTTTTGCTACCTAGAATGATATGTCATTGGAAATTCCTTCTACACATTGCTGTTGCCTCCACCTTCCTTGTAAATTAGAATAGACTTTGGGAGGCCTGGAGGTGTAGCTCAAGTGCTAAGAATACTGGAAAGCCTGGATTAAATCCCCAGCACACACCAAAAAGAAGAAAACAAGAAAGAGAATCGAGCTTTTTACAATTGCAGATGCTTGTGCCCCACCTGGGGCTGGATTAGGCATTGCTGATGTTTTTAAATTGACTCAGGTGATTCTAGTGTGCAGCCACGATAGAAAGCCCCTATTCTAGATGACTTACAAATGTACTTCTTGATATTGGGCCCAAGCACTGAGGATTTCACTGTTCATACTCTGCTTCCAGATTCAGATCCATAAATTTATATATGTGTGTGTGTGTGTGTGTGTGTGTGTGTGTGTGTGTGTGTTGTATTTGGACACAATAACCTGTATTTTATTTTTATGTGGTGCTGAGGATTGAACCTAGCACCTCACATGTGCTAGGCGAGCACTGTACCCTCAGATCCATTAATTTTTAACCTATTAGTTTCTAAATTCCCAAATTATGGTGAAACATATTTTTTTCCCAGTTCTTGGCCAGCTCAGTTTTTTTCTACTACTTGGTGTAATGTCCTTCTCACACATTTTGAAGAGCTATCAATCATTGGTCTCCCATTGATCCATAAACTTGTGCTGCCACATACAATACAGTTGTCTTTATGTCCACAAATACTTTGGCACATCCATAGTAAACACTTTTAACTCTTTAATCAGGTATTGTTGAACAATATAGGTATTCAGTACATCTTTATTGTTGACCCAGATTAAGCAGTCACAATTTTACCTTGAAGAGTGACCCAGTTCTTTATCATCACATAAAATTGACTGTGGTGATCCCTCTATTTCCTGTTTGTGTTTTGATATCTAATCCCTTTCCTTTATCTCCTAATATTTTAGTTGCTGCCGCTCAAGCAGTTGCAAAAGAAAGGCGAGATCAAAGTGGAGTTAGCTCTTTTTCAAGTCAGTCTCCAACTGTAAGATCAGCATTTAAGCCAGGTATAATTTCTTTAATGCTTCAAGAACAGCAAAGTGTTGTATCTTTAAGATTTGATAGCATATTAATGTCTATATTCTTTTTTTAAAGTAATAGATGGGTCTGTTCTAAAAAATGACTTAAAACAAAAATTAGCAAAGGAGCGCAGAGAAGAAAGAAAAAGACAACAAGAAGGTATATTTCAGACTTTTATTTATATTAAAATGAATAAATTTTATGTAAAGTTCATATTGGTTTTACTTGCTTTTTCTCTGTGTTTATATGATAGATAATAACTTTTGTTATATAAAAGATTATTATATTGGATTAAATCCAGTTACCAAATCAGATAAAAAATCTTTGACTAAATTATTCAATTTTTCAAGATGTAGTTTCTGTTGTCTGTAATTTTCTGAAAAGTAAGATATGAACATTTCTTCAACATCTGTAAAAACAAGCAGAATGGGATTTTAGTAAAAATGATTTTAAGCCAGGTATGGTGGCACATGCCTATAATCTCAGCATCTTGGGAGGTCGAGGCAGGAGGATTTCTAGTTCAAAGCCAGCCTCAGCAATTTAGCGAAGCCCTGAGCAGCTAATCCCTGTAATCCAGGGTTTACAGGTGTGGGCCACCATACCCAGCTAATTTGTTTTATTTTTGCTTTTGTTTTAAGTGTTGGGGATGGAACCTAGGGCCTTGTGCATGCTAGGCAAGAGCTATATCTGCTGAGCTATATCCTCAACCCCCTTAATTTGAAATTACCATTTGGACAGGATGACGGTCATCTGGCTCAGACACTCCAAATCACCAGAGTTAAATGAGCACCCAGTGAAAAATGGTTCTTTAGTGTCCACCTTTATCCACTTATTACATAAATCTTTAGTTTCTAGCTAGGTTATGTTATTTTGAGAAAGACAATGAGTAATATTAGCTGTTTTCTTTGTGTGTAATGTAGAAAACAAATTTTTTTCTTGGCTCTTACACCTTGAAATTGTGTTTGGATTATTTCAGCCAGTAAAGAAATACAACTACTTGAAAAAGAAAGAAAGGCCAAGCTCCAGTATGAAAAACATCTGGAAGAAAAGCAACGAAAACTAAGAGAACAAAAAGAAAAAGATGAGCGGCGAAGAATATCTGCAGAAGAAAAAAGAAAACAAAAATTCGAGGAAGAAAGGGTATCTAATTTTATAGCCTATTCATCAGATGATACCATATGTTGCCTGAATCTGAAATATGTTTATTCTTAGCCCTTGTCGCTTTACTCCCTGTGGAAAAGAACTCAGTCCCAGCTCTTTCCTCTCTTCTTCCCTTTTCCTTCCCTCAGCAGTAGAGGCTCCTGCCCTGTCCTGATAAGGTCCTAGGAGCTCAGACCCTAACCTCAGAAAGGAGTAGCCTTGCAGATGTAGGAACAGAGGTCCCATTTGCCTTTGGGATATGGCTCATAGGATACCTGTGATTTGGGTTGTGCTCTGAGCAGTTCTATCTATTATCAAAAACCATTCACTATTGTCCCATTGCCTAGAGACTGAGGACAGACCCCAGTGCCTCAGCTCCCTGACCTGCCCCCATCTGACTAGATGGTTTCTCTAGACTCCTCTAATTGTGTGACTCCCCAATCAAGTCTAAGCACTTTCTCTCCCCTTCCATGTACGCTGGCTCTCTTGTGTGTGTGCCTACTCTCTCCCTCCCTGTCCCTGTCCCTTTTGTGCTTCACAGTCCCTTTTCTGACTTGGTCCCTATGGACCTGTGGTTCATGGTCAGCATTCTTCATTTTTTCTCTTGTCTTGTGGCACTACCACTCTTCCTTTCTGGGCTCTTTTTGGTGTGTGACATGTTAGTGTGAGCCGGTGGCTTCCTTATGCCCCCTTTCTTCCTCATGTGTGCCTCTGCAATCAGTTTGTCTTTTGTTATTTATACTGTGCATCTGGCTACCTGTCATTCTCTATGATTTTCCTTTTTTTTAATCTTAAATTTTTGTCTCATAGGTCATTTCACTGCTCGACTCCTTCTGAATCTGGCATGTTCTTTGTGACACAGTCTGTTTGTTCCACTGACTATTCAGTGTCTCTAAATATGTTTTAGACTCTCTGACCCTGACTTTTTCTTCCTGAGACCACTCACTTTTCTTTTTATTTTCTTTGTCTTAGAGTTTCCATGCTTTTCCCCATCTTCTAGCTCTCTGCCTGTCATTCTCTCAGTGTGAATGCATCTTTAATCTCCCTCCTTATTTTCTATTGCTCTGATTTTTGTATTTCTTTTTTTCTCCTTGTCTCTTTGGTTCCATTTCTCCCTGTGAAACTTCTTTTGTCTTTCTCTGTGGTACATACTTGTCCTCCTTTCTGGTGGATGCAGGTGCTCTCACATGTGCTTCATGCGCAGCCCTGCACCCCATCTGGAGATCTTCAGTATTTTCTTGTGCCTTTTGTTCCCCATCCATGGTCTGTTACCTTTTCCTCTCTGCCTTACTGAACATTTTTTTCAGTAGTGGGGATTGAACCCAGGTGTGCTCTACCACTGACCTCTATTTCCAGCCCACACATCTTTTTTAATTTTGAGATAAGGTCTCACTAAGTTGCCCTGGCTGGCCTCAAACTTACAATCCTCCTGCCTGAGCCTTCAGAGTAGCTGAGATTATAGATGTGTACCAACATACCCAACCTGAGCCTTTTTCTTTTTTCTTTTCTTTTTTCTTTTTTGGTACGAGGTATTGAATCCAGTGGTGCTTAACCACTGAGCCATATCCCCAGCCCAACCTGAACTTTTTTCTTTGGATGTTTGTGATCTGCAGGTTTCATGTTCCAGTATTTAGTATAATATCTTTCATAATTTCTTGTCACTTTCCATTGTCTTCTGTGAAACATGTCCTCATGGAAGCCAGAGAAAATAGTAGGAACTAAGGAAAGACAGTTCAAGAACCAAAGAATGTAAAATAGAAAACTGTGTGCAGATTGAAGAGGAGGGTCCTTGGAGAAGAGACAGTCCCAGGGACGGAGAGAGAGATAGAGAAAGGACCATCTAAGTAAAAAGAAAAAAAGCTGAAAGACAGAACACAGAGAAGAGAATATAACAAAATGACACTGCAGACAAAAGGGGAGCCAAAGGCTAGGTGTGGTAGTGCATGCCTGTAATCCTAGTGGCACAGGAGGCTGAGGTAGGAGGATCACAAGTTCAAAGCCAGCCTCAGCAATGGTGAGGCCCTAAGCAACTCAGTGAGACCCTGTCTCTAAATAAAATATAAAATAAGCCTGGTGATGTGCCTCAGTGGTCAAGTGCCCCTGAGTTCAATCCCTAGTACCATAAAAGAAAAACGAAACAAAACAAAAAGAACAAAAGAAAGAAAGGGAGCCAGAGACATAGCCAAAGGGGCAGGAAGGAAGAGAGAACTCCAGAGAGCTAGTGTGAGGGAGTCCCAGACAGAGTAGGGGACATGGGGCACTTTAAGTAGGCTTGGCTATAGGAAATGAGAATGTAATTTTGAAGAGCAGAGAAGGAGAGGTGAGTATAGAGAGGAGATATATATGACACAAGATGGAAACTACACGTAAGCTATGGGCAGCCACAGATTTGAGAAGGAACCTGAAAGACAGCACAGAAGGTCAGTACATTTAAAAACAGTGGGATACAATTCTTATGGATCAGAAATATTTTCATAAGGCAAGGTTCTTCTCTGGTTTTAGTCTATTATAGTTCCAGGGTTTCTAAGCAATTTAGAATAACTTGACTTTCTGTTAGAAAATGTGATTTTCAAATATTGCCATTACATAAATTCTCTTTCATTTTCCTGGCATGTTTATCTTTGCCCTCAGAAATGGTGGGGACATTATAAGGATGATGTTGCTATGAAACGGTTGTTAAGGAAGAATAGAAAACCTCTGGTCCTGAGGTTGATTTGCTTACTCAAGTATAGTACATGGTATTTTACACACAGAAATGAGAAATATCTGAGTAAAGATCTCGTTTCTGGAGTGCAGCTCTTCTGCCACAGCATGGCAGTTGTGAGTGGTGATTTGACTAGTTTAATGCACAGTTGAGGTCAAGACAAAGACATCACTTATCTTTTTTAGAACACTATTAGTTGACACCAGAATTAAGCTGCTATAGGTGTGGGTATAATAGATGACTGTGGCATAGATTTACTGATATGTATGCTGTTATTTTCTTGCTTCATTTCACAAAAATTTAAGGAAATTTAAAAAATACATACCACACCAGATATTAAAATTAATGGTTGAGAAAGTAATGATTGAGGGAATCAAGCTGAGGGGAGAATTTAGGTAGATAAAGGTACTGAGGTAGGTAAGATATGATTAGCACTCAGTCTTTGCAATTGCTAAAAATAGACCACAAACCCGGCGTGTAGCACATCCTCCAGCTCAGGAGGCTGAGACAGGAGGATCTTTTGAGTTCAAAGCCAGCCTTAGCTATTTAGCGAGGTCCTGAGCAACTTGGCAAGATCCTGTCTCAAAATTAAAAATAAAAAAGGGCTGGGGATATGGCTTAGTGGTTAAGCACCCTTTGGTTCAATCCCCAGTACCGAGAGAGAGAGAGAGAGAGAGAGAGAGAGAGAGAAATAAACCACAAGTTTGACTGTAAATTTCCTAAGGATATAAGCAAAGAGGAAAGCATGGTCAGTTCATTGATGCAGGGTTCATAAAACAAAAAAGAAACTATTCAGAAGAAGCACTGGTATTGATTGGTACCTGAAACATGTCTCCAATTATTTTAAACTTTTATCTAATAAAAACTTCTGATAATGAAATTTGGTGATGAGGTTTGCTTTGTAAACCACAAATCAAAATTTTTACTAATATAATGAATGTAGAAAAATGTGTTGGCATTTATTTTAAATAGGAAAAATACAGAGCTGTTCTTTCTCGAACTTTGGAACGGACTAACCGTGTTGATCAACGGCAAAAGAGATGGTCGTGGGAAGGCTCCGCCATGGCAAATTCTGAAAACAAACCTGGTAATGAAAACAACAATCAAATTTTAAGTTCACTAATGTTCATATTTAAATGTTGGCTATTACTATAAGGTTGCATTTATAGCAAGATTGTAATCTCTATCCTAAACAAAAATGCTATACACAGTAAATTTATATTTAAATTTGTGTCATATGACAGTGTAGAAGAAACAGGTAAGATTTTATAATATATTTTAATTCAGTATACCCCAAATCTTAATTAAATTTATAACCAGCATAAAATGATAACTACACACTACTTGTTTTAAAAAATAAACTATTTTCTTTACTATTTACTCACCATAAGTTTTTTTTTTTATATGTAGGTGTAATTTTACGCAGTTTCGTAAAATAAAATATTAAGTTTATATAGTTTGGAAGGAATGACTGACAATAAATATTATATTCCTAATTAATGTAAATCTGTCCTCCATAGAACTACATCTATGAAAACTCATTTTTTTCAGCTAATATTGTCTTGTAAAAATATGATTACAGTAAATATCATATCTTTTCTCAGTTGATAAATGATCTATATTTACTGAAAATCTTCAGCAGGGCTTATCTGCTTTAATTAAATAGATGCCTATGTCATTTACACGTCTTAAATTCTATTGCTAAGAGTAAGTAGTTATGTCATGAATTCTGCTGATTTTCAACTTAAGGAAATCAATTATTTTTATGTATTTACACAGTGCCACTTGTTTAGATTGTAGAACATTTTAGATTTATTTCAGAAAAACACCACATTATTTTACAGTAGAATGAGATGGCCATTGCTATTTTGTATTTTCATCAATATAAATCCTTGTTTCATGATTTTTGTGTTAATCATATTAGATGGAATTTGGGGGCTCAAATTTGAAATGTTTGAAACATATTTTGCCAAAAGACATTGGCATTAAGTGGCATAATAATTTATTTTACTTTTAAATTAATTCACATTCTAGTCAATTTGTAGAATGTAAATTAATTTAATTTACTTTTAAATTAATTCACATTCTAGAAATTTTGTTTTCTAAAGTCTGGTTAGACTAGTCATTCAGTTTACACTGTCATTTAAAGAAAATAATAGCATAAATACAGTGGTGGACAGATTGATCTGCTTTACAAATATCATATTTGTTATCTACAGTGAACTTGTGAAATATATCAGCAAGTACAATTGCCTTCCTTGTTTCATAATTAAGACATCAAGAAATTCAATGATTTCTACCTTAACATGCTTTATTTTTATTTTTTATTTTTTGGTACCAGGAGTTAAACCCAGGGGTGCCTACCAATTGAGCCATATCCCCAGCTATTTGTTTTACATTTTATTTAGAAACAAGGTCCCCCTAAACACTTTAATGATAAGAATATTACCAAGTTCACTTTACAAATCTTCATAGTTAAAAATGCAGTGTTGTTTTAAATAAAATGAGGTTATCTGTTATGAATACGTTAAATACCTTTTTTGTTCCTGGTGTTTCCCCTTTTCATTACTATTTTTTATTTTTATACTTTGTACCTTATGCTTGCTAGGCAAGTGCTTTGTCACTGAGCTACACCCCAGCCTAGTATTACTTATTTTTTAAAAAAATCTTTACTTCAGTGTGTGTTGGTGACCATTTCTGACTTTTTTCACATGGTGTTTCTCACTGAAACACCATGTATTGAAATATATTAAGCAACCATATCTATCAATCTAAGAGGAAAAATACCTTTGTCTTTCCAGAGGAAGCAGTAGGAATGATCTTGGCAAGAAAAACATTGGGAAACAAATTCTGCATCATTCCCTCAAACTTGGCCATTAAAAAAAGATAGATAGCTGGGCATGGTGACATGTGCCTGTAATCCCAGCTACTCAGAAGGCTGAAATGGGAGGATCACTTGAGCCCAGGAGGTTCTAGGCAATATTTTGAGACCCTGTCTTAATAATAAGGACAAAAAAAAGATGAAACAATATCATTTTTATGCCTGGAATAAGACATCATAATAGTTTGAATTTAAAATGTGTCCTTGTTGGGCTGGGGATGTGGCTTAAGCGGTAGTGCATTCGCCTGGCATGTGAGGGGCGCTGGGTTCGATCCTCAGCACCACATAAAAATAAAATAAAGATATTGTGTCTACCAAAAACTAAAAAATAAATATTAAAGAATTCTCTCTCTCTCTCTCTCTTTAAAAAAAATGTGTCCTTGTGTTATTAGGTGCTTTGATATTTTTTGAACAATGCTGATGACTTTAAAATTCTAGTACAGCAAAAGATTCTGGGTGGTACCATTTAAAGAATAATGAATCGTAGCAGTGACTAATCTAGTGGATAGGATTTCTGTTTTTTGTCCAAAGCAATATTATACTTGTGATAGGTTCAGGGGAAAAAAGGATTTTTATTTTGTTGAAACTCACCTGTTATTTGTCTTAAAACTCTTACAATTTCAACTATGAGCTTTCATTTTGTCTTTTGTTTACTTTTGTTGACAGTCTTAGTCTAGCACATTTTCTCTTACAATAGTCTGGGAAAAGTTGGATCCACATACCACCTCTCCTCCCTCATTGTTCTTTTCCAAAGCACTTTTATGTGTAGCCTGGGTTCATTCATACACTAATGTAGGAAGACTTTTTTTTTTTAGCACCTTGCTTGTCTCGTGGTAAAATTAATGTATTATTTACCAACTAAATCTCTTAGAAAAATTAGATAGCAATAATTGCAATAGCATATTTGTGTCCCATGAACATTGTTCTACAAGTGTTGACTATGTTTTATTACCTATTTACTTCAAGAATTAGCAGAGATTAAATATAATATTATATAAAACTATGCTTTCATTGATATGTCCACTTGCCATATTCATGAAACATGTAAAGAGAAGGGACAGGCGATGACTTAAAAGGTAAGGTAATAACTAGTTAAACTATACTGAAGGAGCAATACCAAGTTAACTTTTTAAATGATTTCTTTACTAGTTTTTAATAGAAGGTATGTATGGAAGATACTTTGTGAAGTAACCTACTTAAAGGTACAGTATGATATATACTCCAAAGTGATGAATGCTGTAATTAATGATTCCAGAAAATCTCTTTAAATTGAAATGAGACCTATTCAATCCAGAGAGATCAATATTTGAAACTCAAATGAAGTTCACAATTTAATATGTAATATTTTAAATAATCTTGTTTTAAATCTTGGTTGATTTAAATAGTCTTATTTTTCTTCCACTCATTGCTGACTCATAACTATTCTCAGTATTTTGTCATTTCTTGCAGTCTACTAATGAGGAATTGTGTAACTTAATCATTGACTTGCTTACAACTTTGTAGTTCATGCTATACAATCACATTATCAATTCAAATTTTCAAATGATGCTGGATTGTCAATATGTACTTTAATTTACAGATCTCATTGTTATACAAAATTACATACAAGAGGTTGTGAGGGGAAAGGGAAAAAATAAAAAAAAAAAAACAAGGGAGAGAATTAAATTACAGCAGATGGGATAGAGAGAGAAGATGGGAGGGGAGGGGAGGGGGGATAGTAGAGAATAAGAAAGGCAGCAGAATACAACAGACACTAGCATGGCAATATGTAAATCAATGGATGTGTAACTGATGTGATTCTGCAATCTGTATACTGGGTAAAAATGGGAGTTCATAACCTACTTGAATCTAAAGTATGAAATATGATATGTCAGGAGCTTTGTAATGTTTTGAACAACCAATAAAAAAAGAGAGAAATTGTTTTTTTTCAAACAGACATTCCTCAGTATTCTGAACTAGAATATTTGAAGCAAAATGAAAAAAGTGTCTATTGGAAGCAGATTGTTTTCCCTTGTGAATGGTTGGGTTGCTTAAGTTGTGACATTAATACTTTTGTTTAAAAATACTAGTTATAACTAACATATAAATCACTTTTACTATTAGACATCATGGATTGTGTCTAGAATCAAAGGTTGTATATTCCTAATTTGGGAACTTTGATGTTGTGGATAGTATCAGACATTTTACCTCTTAAATTTTAACATTTTCTAAATCACCTTATTTTCATTTCAGTAACAGAGTAAATTTTAAGTTTGGGGAGTAGAATCTCTGTATTGTATTTGAAATTAAATTCTTATAAGCAAGGGTAGATAAGATAAACAAAAATATGTAAACATGAGTGGCTCCTAAAATAATATATTTATGTCATTTATGAAAAGTAATATTTCTTTGCTTTTGACCTCTAGGAAAAACAGAAAATAAGAGAAGCTCATCTTTGAATAGAAGAGAAAACAAAGTACATTCATCTACTGACATAGAACACATGGAGGACAAGCCAGGTGATTAGTTAGTGGTTAAAACAGGCATATTTATGTCAACATTATTGGTTAAAAATCATTTCTGAAACTGAAAAGTGAAGCATCCTTTTTTTTCCTCCTTGAAGTTCTATGGATGGAACCTTTTCATATGTGTTTGTTGCTTTTTGTTTCTCACCATTCACTTATGGAAGACTTTGTACTTAATTGATTCAGGTTCAACCCTATTGGAACAAATACCATTTCATAGGAATCTTTAACAATATAAATACTTATTGGAGTAAGATATTTATTTACAACAATGGTCATTTTGGTAGGAGGTACTAGGGATTGAAATCAGGGGCACTGATGTCACCACTGAGCTACATCCCCAGCCCTATTTTGTATTTTATTTAGAGACAGGATCTCATTGAGTTGCTTAGTGCCTCACTTTTGCTGAGGCTGGCTTTGAACTCATGAGCCTCCTGAGCTGCTGGGATCACAGGCGTGTACCAGCATGCCTGGCACAAAGCTCATTTTTAACAAAAAAGTTCAGTCAATTCCTGGGAGCTTTTGGCAATGCACTTGATCATTATGATTGTCAATGACATATATCTGGGAATCCATGTAAAGGTTGTTTTGTCATCTGCAATTCTTTTTCTCCATGTGTGAGTTCCCATAAGGACACCATACTATGGGAGGTGGTTATGTCAAATATGTTACCTGGGTTTCTTCTTTGGGGTTATTATGGTATGCTGAGGCCTTTGCTCCTTAATTCAGGTAATCTTGTCCCTGACAGTGCAATCTTATTAGATTAGCAGTGTCCAATCCTATTATACTATGTATTGTTGGGAAAGTTATCATTTTTACAGCAGTTTACATTAATCATCGTTGCTTTGTATTCATTCATCTGTAAGACCTCAAATTGAATGTTTTTTTTATCATTTAGCTCGTCGATTTTATAGCAATCCCTCAGAGAATAATTTAATCAGTCGCCTGCTTATCCCAACAAGAGCATCAGTAGCCAGAAGCAAGACTGCTGCTTCATTATCCATCCCAGGAAAAGATACTCCAGGTAACAGGCACATGGAAAAAAGCCTGAAAGTACTCGTGTTTGCACTTAAAAAGTAGGCTCTAACACTTAACTTTTTGCTTTTAGGTGTCAAAATAATTTGAATCAATAGTTACAAAATTTCTAGCATGGTAGATTAAACTGGGTAATGGGTAATTAATAGGATGAGATGACTAACTTGGTGATGGTTAAATTTTATTTTGTTTATTCACCTATTATTTATTTATTTATTATTACATGGTGCTGAGGATGGAACCCAGGGCCCCACATGCACTAGGCAAGTGCTCAATGACAGCCACAACCCCAGCCCATGTTGGTTAAATTTTAAAGCTCTATAGATTCTAAAAATATAGAAGAATTTCACTAATATCAAGCAAGAAAATTTCCTACTAACCTTTTTTTATTCAAAAATATGGAACAATAACATTGATCAAACTTTCAGTTTTCAATTAGGGACATAAAGATTGTAAGTACAACAAAACAAATCTTCAGGATTATGAGGACTTTCTCATTTGTAGTTTACATAGCCTATGGACAGCAAGATATCCCCAATAATGGAAAGGTCTATTGCATTGTCCCCATTATTTACCCTCTCTGCTTTTTCCTTTCCAGAATACATCCCACCTCTTTTTTTTCTGTCATTTTCATGTGATTAGTAAAATGAATCAACATTGTATCAGTCTTTCTTGTAGTACTCTGATTCCTGGCATGCTTTATGTGTGTGTGTGTGTGTGTGTGTATAATCAGATTAGTTTCTGCCAGTTTCCCCCACTACCAATCTAGATATTTCTGATTATTTTTGTTTTGGCTTAATAGATCACTATCATGAAAAACTCAGTATTTTGTCTTAAATTTCTATAATGAGCTAAGTGTAGATTTTAGCACACCTAAAATCTCAGCAATGTGGAGGCAGAGGCAGGAGGATGGCAAGTTCTAGGCCACCCTGGGCAACAAGACCCCATGTCAAAATCAGAAATAAAATGGACTGGAGCGGGACTGGGGTTGTGGCTCAGGGGTAGAGCGCTTGCCTAGCACGGGAGAGGCCCTGGGTTAGATCCTCAGCACCACATAAAAATAAATAAGTAAAATAAAGTTATTGTGTCCAACTACAACTAAAAAATAAATATTAAAAAAATGGACTGGAGGGAGATAATGATCAGTGATAAAGTGACCCTAGGTTCAGTCTCTAGGATCACACAAAAATCTTATACTTTATACATTTTCTATAATACTAATTTTTTGTGTTAATTAATGTAACTGTTAGGCACATGTAGATATGTAAAGAAACTGCTTTCTGTATCAAAAATGAGGAAGTAAAAAAATAACAACTTTGTCAAGTTTTTTTCATAAGTAGTCAATTGGTAATTCTATTTTAAATATTTGACAAAATCATGAAAATTTGCCACTTAAAGTTGATGTGCCAAATAATTGTACCAAGTGTTAAGAAAACTACCATGGAAGACATTTTTAAAATGTTTACTTTATTATATAAGCAGTAAACATTTAGCATAAAACAAGATTTTAAGTGTAATCTCCCTAATATTTCAAGGCACACTGGTAATTTAATATCTCTCCACATATATATTTTTTCACAAAAGGAGATAGTAGCCTGCCTTTGTTAAACTCAATAAATATCATTTTCTGTATCCAAAAAATTGCAAATTACTTCTTTTAATGACTGCCTTCCTATAGTGCAAGTTTTCTTTTGAATATTTGGATTATATTTTCAACTATCCCAGTATTTTAAACAATAGTTTAGTTAGCAACAATGTGAATACATTTTTACATATTTATCTAGTTTTTTTTTCCAGGGCTAAGGACTGAACTCAGGGCCTTGCTGTGCTAGGCAAGTGCTCTGCCACTGAGCTAAATCCCCAACCCCTTTATCTAGGTTTTTTATCTTTATTTTTTTACTAAGGATAAATCCAGAGGTGGAATTGCTAAAACAAAGAGTATATACTACTTAAATGGCTTTTGATACATATTACCAAATTGCTCCTCAGGAAGCATATACAAATCTACAATCCCACCAGCAATGTATGAGGTTGCCTGGTTGCAAATATTGGAATTACCATTTTCTTCCATGCAAGCTGACATGGAATATTAGCATTTTGCTCCTTCCCTAGGCAAAAAAAAAAAAAAAAATATTTGGTTTGCTGAAGCTGGAAGAGACCTTTGAGATCTAGCCCACTCCGAGTAAGTCTTAGTACAGTTTTTAATATGGCTGAGAAAATGCTTTTCTTAATTCCCTTCTGCAACAATCAACTATGAAGTATCTTATGTAACCACCTGTAATGGTTAAAATCTAGTCCTGGTGAAGATGTTCATATTACTTTTTAAAGGTGTTGAAGACCTTGCAATTTTCATGAAAATAATTCTGAAGTGCAGTGCAGTTAAAATATAAATGGCAGGTCTGGGGCTGTAGCCCCGTGGTATAGCCTTAACTGCCATGTGTGAGACACTGAGTTCAGTCCTCAGCACCATGTAAAAATATAAATAAATAAAACAAAGGTATAAAAAACAGAAATGGCAAACATCAACTTTGGAAAAACATCTTATTTTCATCTGTAATAAAGACCATTGCTTTCACAGTGACTGTTGTTGGCGAATACTTCCTGTGATGTGTGTAATCTCTGTGATTTCCTAATAAACAGTTGTCTCTTTTCTCTGTTCCTGTTCTTATACTGTCTTATCAAATTTCTGACTTTAGGGTATTTTACTCTCCATCCTCATTCAGTTATAGGTGTCACCAATCACTTCCTCCAGTATGTACATATGCCCTTGCGTAGCCACAGTAGTGACGAATTGAAGAGTTCCATCATGTTCAGTAAGCCAATAGTGAAGACGCCTCTTCAGACAAAATTAGAAATGGCTCCCCTGGAGAAAGTAGTAACACCCTTCAAGGTAAATGTGGAAGCTACTCCCAAGGCGAAAATGGAAGTGCCCTCTGAGGTGAGAATGGATGCCTTGTTGAACATGGAAGCCTCCCCCATGGAGAACATGGAATTGTCCCCTGTGGCGAGCACAGAAACATCCCCCTTGGTTAGTGTGGAAGTGTCCCCTGTGGTGAGCATGGATGCCTCCTCTGAGGTGAGCCTAGATACATCCCCTGAGGGGAGCATGGACTCATCCCCTAAGGTGAACATGAAAGCTCCCTGTAAGGCAAACATGGAAGTATCCCAGAGTGTGGAAACACTTCCTGAGGCAAATGTGGAGGTGCCTCTTGAAGGGGAAGTGGAAGCATCACCCAAGGAGAGCTTGGAATCATCCCCTAAGATGGTGGCAGAAGTGTCCTACAAGGCATCCCCCAAGGTGAGCATGAAATTATCTTCCAGGTAAAAGTGAGAGACTCTTCAGAAGTTTGTCATGTTTTATTGACAAGATTCCTATTAAAATGTGTGTATTTCATTGTATAGAACATAATAGGTTGGGTTTTACAACAAAATTATCACTATTATAGTGTTGCGCAATAAAATTAACAAAATAATTCACTAAGTAATTTAAAATCTCTGATGTTTGTTACTCTAGTGTAATATTTCCCCCAAACTGTGGAATATTACTTTTGGTTGAAGGGAGAAAGTGTAACATTCCTCTGAACTGTTTCTGAACTCTGAAGAAAAGATTTTTAAGAAGTCTTCCAAACCCTTAATTAAGACTTAGAAATGGAAATAGGTTTTGAAAAAAAGATTTCTCATAAATTAGTTATTTCTGTGATCCATTTGAATTGTGTAATATAATTGTTAGTCTAGAAGAAAATGTGTCTGAACCTGATTTCAAGCACTAAAGGAAATTTGTGGATTTAAGGAACTATAATTGTACTTTATTCAGAATGTTTTTCTTTTAGAAAGCTAGCTGCAATAAAATACTTACTAATATCCTACTGCATTAGCCTGTTCAGAAACCAGAAATGGACAGACAGACCTCCAACCCTGTTATCAAGAAGCATCCATCCTCAAACATACTATCTAATATGCAGTCACCATCTCCTGCCAGCGGGTGTCATCCACCCTCTCCCGTAAATACTATGTAAGTAAGTAGCCTACTTGCAACCATTCTGGTAGGTGTTAATTTCATGTCAGGACAAATTTCATGTCAGTGTTTGATGATGAAATATGATTGTATGTGCAGTAACACAAATGTGAAGAAAAAAAACTTTTAAAATGGATTTAGCTTTGTCTATTATAAAAATTCCCAGATCATAATCTTATGATCATTATCTCATAGTGTTGAGACTTTATATTTTATCAAATTGTATACTAAAAATTAACTAACACACATTTGTTACTTTTTCTCAGCAGGCACATTCAAAAGAACCGCCCACCATCACCTTCACCAGTCTTGTCAAAACAATCAGTACATGCTCCTCTGCCCTGTAAAATCATACCTGTTCAACGTACCCTATTTGTGCCAGATGGTATTGTCAAAAAGAAAAGAGAAACGGTTTCTAAATCCCCAAACAAATGTGAGCCTGTGAGCCAAAAACAGATGATCTCTGAGGGTAAGTTCTCTCATTAAGAAGTGTATTTTAAGACAGGTGTGGTGGCACATTCCTCTGATCCCAGCTACTCGGAAGGTTGAGGCAGGAGGATCACAAGTTTGAGGCCAATTGGGACAAGTTGGTGAGGCCCTAAGCAACATAACAAGACACTGTCTCAAATGAAAACTAAAAGGGCTGGAGATTGTAGCTCAGTGGTAAAGCACCCATGGGCTCATTCCCCGGTATAAAAAAAAAAAAATTAAGAAGTTCATTTTAACAACACATAAAATCCTGAGGTACTTTGGGAGTGGTCAATATCATTTTATTCCCCAATGGAAAGAACTTTAGGGAATGATCTTTCTTTTAGATATTAAGAGAATTTAACTAAATCACTGGTTCTCCTGGAATGTAGCTTCTCTGCTTACTTGTCATTGCCAAAGCTTCGTATTCACCCCACCTCTTTGTTTTGGAAAGTTCATTTTGAAACTACTGCTAAAAGCACAGGGTGGATGAGAGGGTTGATCTAGGAGATCCCTGTAGGCTCTCCCAGCTCTGATGTTAGATGATTGCTGGAGAGAGCACATCTAGCCATTCCTGGATGAGCAGGTTTCCATTAGGAGATGTAGGTCAGGTTCCATATATAGGTCAGACCATGTGGTGTGCCTTAGTTTGTATTGTATGCAGGTTCCTGAAAATTGCCACATGGCTGTTTTGCCTGCCACACACATTTTTACACCTACAGACATTACTTAATTTTAAATACATTAGGGAGTTTTGCTTTTTAAAGGAATTTCACAGTAAATTCTTTGTAACAGAAATAATCTTTTTATTGCATATTGTTCATTCTTGATATGTCTTAAAATTTTCCTTTTCACATGTGATTTGTTTTAAGTAAAGCAATGAGTTACACAGACTAAAATATGATAATAGGCCTCCACATCTTCACCTTACTTTACTGATAGTCTTGGTTTCTTTGGTTATCATCTATAGTTAGACACTTTATTAATAACCAGATACACACACTGTTATCAGAGTTTAACTGGAAAGTAATGAAAATGTGCCACAGATCTCCAGATGTATGCCTAATGTATTTTTTGGTTAATCAGGTATTTAAGATTTATACTCTTCATTTGGACCAGGCTAAACCTTGACTTTCCCTATAATCAGTATATCTTAATCTTTTCCTATACAGTAATTTGATCGAGTTATCTCCAAATAGCTAAAACAAGGCCAGATGTGGTGGTGCAAGCCTGTAATGCCAGCAGCTCGGGAGGCTGAGGCAGGAGGATCCTGAGTTCAAAGCCAACCTCAGCAAAAGCTAGGTGCTAAGCAACTCAGTGAAACCCTGTCTCTCTTTTTTTATTGTGGTGCTGGGGATTAGAACCTAGGGCCTTGTGCATGCAGGGCAAGCACTCTACCAACTGAGCTATATCCCCAGCCCAAGACCCTGTCTTTAAATAAAATATAAAATAGGGCTGGGCATGTGGCTCAGTGGTCGAGTGCTCCTGAGTTCAATGCCTGGTACCCACCCACCCCCCCAAAAAAATATAGCTAAAACAAAGTAGAAGTATAGTATTGCATTTTGGAAAAAGTATTTATTTAAAAGAAAATGCTAATTCTCTTGTCAGGGAACAGTTGAGGCTTTGAACAAATCACCTATAGTTTGCTTATGGTTTATAAATTTGGATCTATGCACACATTGTTCATTTTTTAATGTTTTGGGTTATATTGTACTTATTTATTAGACTGAGAGACAATAAGTTCACTAAACTAACTATTTTACATTTTCATTTAAATTAGAGTCTGGTAATAAAATTGCACCAGGAACCATGAGTGCTGAGGAAGCCACGAAAATTTTGGCAGAGAAACGCCGTCTTGCTCGTGAACAAAAAGACAAAAAAGAAGAAGAGAGACTCCAGAAAGAAATGGAACCAAGGTCAGCACAAAATCATCATCCTTTCTATACTAGTCTAGGCTGGGGCCCCAATTTTGAAATATTACCCACAAGTTATAATTTCTCAAAAATTGAATTTTTCTTCAGCAAGGATCAAAATTTCCTTGTTACCTTTTAACCAAGTGAGTGGTTGAACATAGAGGACCTCTCTGTCCCTTTTAATCTCCATATATTGTGTGCCATTAGGTTGTGCTACTGTATAAAAAGACCAAACTCATGCCCAGAGTTCCCATCTCTAAGCACAGTAGCACTTGAGTGATCACATGACATTTATATTTGTATTTTCTGGTGTCAGGCCCTTTAAGACTTGTAACTTCAGTATTTGTAAACCTGGAAATTATTCATACTCTTGTTTCACTTTGGGTACTTTCCAAAGACCTTTGTGATACCTGAATCTCATCTGGCCAGTGAGTCACTGCTTGTAGGATGTCTTGTGGGCAGCAAACCTCATATACAGCTATATGCCTCAGAACTTGAAAAGAAAGGTTCCTTGCTCTTCCATTTATGGACCCATTTTAAGTTGAGCCCTGTAATGTAAACCTCTGTCCACTGCCTGCAAGGAATACCTACAGCACTGGCTTTATTTTCTTTGCAATATAATTTTACATGTTCTGTGCAATATAATTTCACACTTTCCATAAACTTTATATGGGCTCAGAGAAAGAGGAGAAAGGGGATATTGTGAATACTAACAAATTATAAGTGGAAGAATATTATCACCTAATGTAAACATGGCTAATTTAGCATTTGAAAGCGCTGGATACTGGGGCACCACTAGACCATCCTCTACATTACCCAGGTGAGATTGGGTGTAAGCATGTGTAAATAAGGACTTTGGGGAGTGCCGCAGTCTGGCTGGGCACAAAATCACGAGCCACTACACAGCTTGTAGATTCAAACAGCAACTCTTTATTCCCGAACTCACACCAGCCGTCTACAATCACGTTCTGGGGAAATCCATGTTCTCTGCCCAAATCCACCCCCACTGGGCTTCTGTCTCCCAAAAAATACTGTCTGAATCCCGTGAGAACTCAAGGGGAACTCAGGCAGCAGGATACACCCTGTTCCCAGCAGGAATAACCTTAAACCTGGAACCACCCTAAACCTGGATTATCCTAAACCGGGAACACCCTAAACCCGGATCCGCCCTGGTCCTTGAGCAAGGTCACCTTAGATGCAATGTCACTGCAAAATGTCCTATTTCCACGAGTCCTTCCACTAAGCAACATAGGGTACGCTGGCAAGGAAATTGTCATACCTACTTGGCTAATGGCTCCCAGCAGGGGAGGATCTCTAAAACAGTTCAGGAGTAATTCTTTTCTGTTTTGCAGGTGTGCATGTGTATGCACAGTTTTTAAGATTCAAAGTAGTCCAGTACTTGAGAGAAGTCCTTTTCTACTCACAGGCTAGTTCCCCCACTTTTTTAAAAAAAGGGTGAAATTGTGTAAATTTTGTGTAGTAACAACACAGTAAATGTAGTGAATATGGTGCAAATGTAAACTGTATTAGTGTGGGAGCAATTTCATTATAAAAGGTTGCATACTACTGCAAGCTGTATATGGTAGCAACTAAGATAAATACTAAGAATTATTTGAATACTCTTGTTTTCCTAGGAAAGTGGCAGATGTGATAGAGAAGGTGGACAAAGGCCAAGCAGAAGAGCTCTCAAAATGTGAAGATGGGCAAGAACAAGAAAACGAGATTAAAAAGAACAAAGGATGTCAGCATCAAGACCAGGAAGTACTACTACAGGTTTACTGGCTTAACATTTTAGCAGCAATTAAGAACCAGCTAATAAAATTTAGTTGAAACTCACAGCAGGGCTGGGAATGTGGCTCAGTGGTAGGGTACTTGCGTAGCATGTATGAGACTCTGGGTTCCATCCCCAACACCACCAAAAAAAAAAAAAAAGGCAGCAATCTTTGTTTCTTATTTTTGGTACCAGGGATTGAACACAGCGATGCTTAACCACTGAGCCACATCCCCAGCCCAACAGTGAGACCCTGTTACTTAGAGCCTTGCCATTGCTGAGGCTGGCTTTGAACTCACGATCCTCCTGCCTCAGCCTCCTGAGCCGCCAGGATGATAGGCTTGCTTCACCATGCCCAGCTGACATCTGTCTGTAAGGAGATGTAGCATTCCCTGTGGCACTTTAACATTACAGTTTCACTATAACCCATTACCACTGCAGGTCATCTTCAGCCATCCTTGGCAAAGTCCCCAAGTTTCTCAAGGGCAGCTAAAAAAAAGCAGAAAACAGTATATTATAGATTAGTAGTCCTTTAGTTTAAAATCCAAACTGCTTGCTCAGATTAGATATCCCAGGTTGGTTTTCCCCAATTTTGCTTTCTGTGGTAACACTAATGGCATTCACAGCTGCACCCAACACCTCCCACACCAGGCAAAGTTCAAAATCAGATTCACCAGTAAGAATATATCACCCTTCTAAATTCAAGCCACTAGGAAACTAAATTCCTGAACTGAGCTCAGACTATACTCAGTTTGAATTATTACCATAGTCTAATTTCTAGTCCCAATTTTAGTGTGTGATTCATCAAATTTGGTAACATGTAAATTCCATAAATGATTGTGTGTGCTTGCATTTCTCTAGAAGGAACCTTTGTGGATTCTCTCAGTGACACTGGGAGAAATATGACTTTTCACTCTTGTTGCTATGTTAATGGATAGCTCCATAGTCACCTACCTAGTTTTAAAGTAAGATGATGTGATGTTCATAATGATACTCTTGACATCCTGAGCCTTCCAGATAACATTTCACCTAGTTCTGTGTATTCTAACTAATGGTTTGAAAACTGATAATCCATGACTGGTCATAGATAGGAGTGCTCAGTCAAGAGATTACAACAGTTGACTTTTTAAATGTGCTATCATATATTGAAATTAAATGATATTTTTACACACTTTTTCTAGAAAGGGGATGCCAAAATAAAAGCTCAGGAAGAAGCTGATAAACGCAAGAAGGAGCAGGAGAGAATTATGTTACAAAATTTACAAGAAAGATTAGAGAGAAAAAAGGTAAGTGTTTTCTGTTTTGGGGTGTTTGATTGTGTTAAACACAATTGGGTGGCATTTTTGAAAATCACAAGTCAGGTGTGTGTTAACATCTGGCTTTTTTCCCACTATACTCTCCTCTTCCTTATCCAAGGAGCTGGTTTATATATAGAAGGTTTTTCCTCTTCATTACCACTTCCTCAAGAACCCTTGGTAATGATTACAGCATTGCCACAATATAGCAAACCTGTGGGAACACAGCTCCTTTGAACAGAATGACTAGTCATGGTACGGGTTGTCAAAAGTTAGAGTTTCTTCTAAACTGGCTAGCATTTGCAGTAACTATCATGGGAAGAAGTGCAGACATCTTTGAGAGGCCAAGGTGCAGGCCATTTGTAAGGGTGAGCCACATGTTATGCAACTCACATGGCTCATCTGGGAGCCCCAACCTGGGCTGAGGTGTGCAGGACCTCCCTGTCCATAAATCATGAGGCACCCTGAGTTGGCCAGGGAGTCACAGTTCTCCTCACCTTATGCATGGTAGAGAATTCTTTTTTGTTAAGATAGATACAATATTTTGTTTATTTTTATGTGGTGCTGAGGATTGAACCCAGTGCCTCAAATGTGCTGAGCTATAACCCAGCCCCGTGCATGGTAGGGAATTCTTAACCCTCCCTAAAATATACCTCTTGTCAGCCGCCTGTCTATTTTTAGTAACGAGATCTGTTGACAGTGCCATGACTGAGGTGCATTATCTTCATTTACCCTCAGGAAAGGTCCGTGAAGACTAAAATCCTACTAAAAACTCCAATTTGTCTGCAATAAAATATGCTTACTCTAATTAATGTCTGTGTGAAAATAGAAGTAAGAAATTGTCATTTGGGTATCTATGTTGTAATAAAAAGTACAACTGTCACCATTCATGGCATATTATAGCTGAAACCAGTTCAGAAGAACAGGGAGGCCAGCTGTCCTGCCATGTCTTTTGTGGGTGAAATCTATGGTTTTGGAGCATACATTGTGTGCCATTGTCCGCCTGTGTAAAATGGAGATAATCAACTGCTTCAGGACCACTGGTTTTTAATCTCTTTTCATGTTTGACTTTTTGTTTTCCTTTTAATAGAGAATTGAGGAAATAATGAAGCGGACAAGAAAGACAGATGTGAACATCACAAAGGTAGTCTCCATTCTACTGCCAGCAGTATATAAGAATTCCTCTTAAAAAAATAAAAATCATTGAACACCTATATTTAAAAAAAAAGAAAGAATGCCTCTTACTTCCCATCCTTGCCAACTTTTGCCTTTTTGCTGATCTTATGGCCATGGTATAAAGTATCAAGTTTACATTTCCCTGATCATTACAGAGGTTGAACATGTTTTCCTGTCTTTAATTAGCTTATGTTTTCTCTCATGTGAAATGCTTTATAGGTCTTTTTACCTAAACCTTTTGGTTGTTTTGTCTTTTTCTTGCTCTTTAAATCTCCTAGATATTGCTGCTTTTTTGGTTGTGTGTTGTAGATATCCTCACCCTCCAAATGGTTTGGCTTTTCTAATTGTCATCTTCTGCTAGGTAGAAGCTCCTAATGTCATTGCTGTTGAATTTATCAATACTTTCTGATGACTAATGAGGTCAAGTGCTTTTTGATATGCTTCCTGACCATTTTGAGATTCCCTTTGTTGACATGTCTTTTCAAGTCATTTGCCCATTTTCCTATTTTGTCACTTGCCTTTGTAGGAGTTTTTGCCTACCCCAGTGAGGAGTCCTTTAGATATATGTACTGCAGGGAGCTTCTCCCACACTGGTTTGCCTCACATAATATTAGTTTAGTGGACCAGATGTTCTTCAATTTAGCAAACTCCAGTTTTTCTCCCCTTTATGGTGGAAAGTTTCTGTGTCTGTTGCATCATTATTTGCTTCCCCCAACAGTGTGTCTTTTGATTGAGCACATGCCTTTTTCCTAGATTCTGTGCTGCTCTTTATATCCTGTGTTACAGAACTTATATTTTGCCTTTTTACAATTGTTCAGTTATAGTCGTTTATACTATGAAGCCACCCTGTCTTTGGTAAAATTCTAATAAGCAGAGATGATGAATACCAGTTCAAGGCTGTAGTGTCTGTTCTTGCTCAGGGAAATCTTTAATTCTTGAGGGTCTTTCTCTAGCTGAAAGACACAACAAGGGCAACCTGCCCCTGTCCCCATTCTTTGGACCACTTAATGTTGTTAGAATTTTTTTTTACTGTGTAGTTGAAGTATTGAAAGTTAGCCATCAATCCAGTCTTGATATCTAAATTCTCTTAAATTCTAAGCCAGAATGATTGAATATTAGATATAATATTGATTTTCTTTTTTGACCATAGGCCTCAGAAATATCTGGCAGTAATACATCTGAAGAGGATGAAGCTGATGATGAGGATGAGACAGAAAGTGATGAGGACTCCCTTGATACAATGTTCTCATCAGGTTTGTTTGTGCCTAATGTTCTGTTAGTTGCCATGTAGGAGCTGGACTGCCTTGGTTTATATTTAAGGGCTCCTTCACATCTGAGCTTTGTGGCCTTGGGCAAGTCATTTAACCTCTCTGTGCCCAGCTTTACCATCTGCAAGAGGGAGAGATAATGTCTCTTTACCAGGGTTGGGCATGAGATTTCAGTGAGATAAATCTGAGTAATACTAAGAATAGCAGCTAACTGTCAATAAATATTTGCCACTGCTTCTAAATTTTACACTTTATGCTATTAGATTGTAGGTGGTAGCTCTTTCTCAGTAGAATATGAGGACTGTTGACATAGCTTAGAGCCTCAGAAGGCAGCTGTGATTAACTCTAGGTGGGATTCGACTTTCTAACTTATAAGGAAAAATTGAAATTGTGTCATGATGCTCATACCCTCTTGAAATATATTGGTGACTCCCTCCAAGTAGGAAATACTTCATAGTAATGGGCATTTGAGAAAACACTATTGATCCATATTTATCCTGAAAGCAGACATTGAACAGGTAAGCAAGGTATTCTCAAGGTACTGAAAAGCCTTGGGGAGATAGACACCTGAACAGAGAGTGGTTACTACCACACAAGGACTGGGTTCAAAGAAGTCAGGTGAGAGTGCAGCCAGTGTATGGCATTAGGACAGAAGCCTTGGGTCAGCTGGAAGGAGGAGAGCCCACAGGAGAGTCCAGCATTTGGGGGCAAGACAAACTCAGGGCCAGCCTGTTCTAGATGAATGCCAGGTGTGAGTAGCAAGAAGTAGCCCTACCCACTGGTCCACCAGTTTTTCAGGGCACAGGACAGGTTCCTTAAAGGTGGCCCCTTTGTGCATGGAGGGCAGGGTGAGTGCAGGTACTGGGCAGCACTGACTGTAGCTCAAGCACCACAAGCAGCTGGGGGTGGTAGGCCTGGCTCCCCAGAGTGTTACCTGCCTGATGCCCTCTGTGTCAGGCACCCGCATCTCCTCAGGATTGCAGCTTTGTCTTTTTCTTGTGTTGTTTGAAACTCCAGTTTTAATTTTGTTCCTTTCTCTTCCCTAGCCAATGGAAATGGCAGAGAGTCACCTAACAAGCCCAAAATGCCTTATAAAAATGCCAAGAAAATGTCTCAGAAACTGATGTTTTTACAAGCCACAACTGGTGAGACCAATAAAGAAAAGAAATCATATTTTAATGGTGATCTGAAACCTTTCAGGCAAAATACCCTGAAAGAGTCTTTGACTCAAGCAAAAGGCTTAAAGTAAGTCACTTTGCATCCTATTTATCTGAATAAACTTGGGGGGATTATGATTGACCTTCTTAGAATGCCAAGCAACATTATTTCTTGAGCTCTTAGTTTGCACATGCCAAACACTCAACTTTACAGAAATAAGCTAAGCCCCACTATAACCTTGCTTGGTAAGGAGCCTCCTCCTGATTAGACAACCAAACTGAGGTGCAGTGAGCTAAGGGGATTTCTTCAACATCCCACTGCTAAAGGGCAGAGCCCAAACTGCTTTTCTTTACACAATGACTGTTGTTTCATAAAATCAGAGAAGGGGCCATTTATTGAATGCCTGTTGTAAACCAGGCCTTTTACATGGCCTACTTTAATTCTCACAGTACTTGTGAGATTGGTAATAATATCCTCATTTTTTAGATGGGGAACCAAGTTAGAGGTTAGTTTCTTAGAAAGGAACAGTAGTTGGGTGATTACCTGAAAAGATGTTTAAGCTATAAGGGCCTGTGGAAACACAAGGCTACTAAGAGGCTCAGAAACAGTTGAAAAGAGCTCTAGAGTTACAAATCCTGCTCTGGTTCTCTAACTGTGCCATAGTGGACATTTCCCTTGACCAACTTGAAGGAGGGGGACTGGGTTCCTATGTGTTTATCTGCTCCCTAAGTCCTGGTACCTCTGTGGCACTGTAGGGCTTTCAAGAATGCAATTTGAAAAGCAGTGTGTGATCCCCTGTTCCCTTCCAGCCTTTCCATGCTAGGATTCAGGAAGTTCATTAATACCCAAAGCATCGCTTAGAAGTTAACTAAAAAATAATGCTTTTTTCAGGGTACAGACTTGGTTTTGGAACTATCTGGACCTTGTTTTGTTTTGTTTGTACCAGGGATTGAACCCAAGAGCACTTAACCACTGAGCCACATCCCCAGCCCTTTTTTTATATTTTATTTAGAGACATGGTTTTGCGGAGTTGATTAAGGCCTCACTAAGTTGCTGAGGCTGGCTTTGAACTCACAAAGGCGTCAGCCTTTCTAAGCTGCTGGGATTATAGGGGTGTGCCACTGGGCCTAGTACTATCTGGATCTTAACCAAAACATCTCTCTCCAGGTCATCTACCAAAAGATCATCTACACGCACAGCAAAAACTGGAAAAGCAAAGGAACTCAGCACCACCACCCAATCCATCCCGAATGTCAGCACACCTCAGGAGCAGACTTACGGCAAAATTGACAGTAGTAGTCACAACACTGAATCACCAGACACAAACGTCACCCCTGATAGCCACAAACAAAATTTGAAGGATTCTGTGACATCCCACCCAAATCCTCAGATGCCTACAGACCATAAGAAAAAAAGCCAATCTGTGCCTACTATTTCCAGTAAGGCCTCATCCCATCTCTGCTTTGCTCCAAAGGAAGTTGACCTTGAACCCTCTCCTACTTCTAGCAGTAGGGCATTCTTTGGAGGAGAGGAAGAAGATGGTGTTGAGTCTGCAGGAATACTTTAGAAGTCTTCTATTAAGTTAGTTTTGAGAGAGTAGATGGCTTGCTTCTAATTTTTATGTCCTGCATTTCCTGTCAGATACAAAAAACTAAGTTCTTTTCAAGATCCAGATTCCTCAGAGCTCTTGATCCACCAGCAACTTGACAAGAACATAATTTTCCTTTAGGTCAGAGGTCCAGGAAGGTCTTTGGAATTAGTCCCTCATCCTCTGTTTCCAAAACCAAGAGACCCCAAAAGACCATTGTTTCTCTTGAGAAGCTCTAAATCAAGTGAGGCAGTGTGGGCTCCTTTGGGGATCTAGGAAGAGGGGAACATTTTAAGGGCCCCAGTGTGTCAGTCTATGGGGTCCTAGGCCCACCCCAAAAGGAGGCCAGGGACAAATTGCCATGAGACCACCAGCATCTTCTCTACTGGTCTTTCTTTCCTTTTCCCTCTGCTTAGATACATAAACCTCGTACAGCCTAGAAGATTGATCTGTCCTCCACTCTGGATAACTCCCAGGCCTATGCCTCAGAATTCACCTGCTTCATACTTGAACCTGGCAAAGGAAATGACCATTAAAACAAAAAAGAAAGGATACATCCGAAGGTCACCCTGACATCTGTCTTGGAAGGTGTTCATATCATTTTTTTCTCTTGTGAGAGTTCTGAGTTAAAAAGAAATGCTTTGGTTTCCCTTAAAAAAATCATAATTGTCTTTTGTGTGTATCTCCATGTGTGTTGGAGTGTGTATATCCAGGGTGCTTTCATTAGGTGATAACTATTGAGTTTCTAAAAGAACTCTATTAAAGGAACGATGTTCTTTCAGCATGTATTAGAAGTCTTAATGATTCTTGTTTGACAATGACATCAATTTAACTACTAGAAAATTTGATTTTGTGTAGAACTTGATAGAAGATGTGAGGCACTCAGGATTGCTGGCAAAAGCTATCAGATTGTCTCTAATATACAAGTGCCAAAGGCTGCATGATATAGTAAAATTTGAGCATAATATATGCATATTTCAGTTCTTCTATTGTCAGTGCCCGGCATTGATACCCACAAATGCTAGCAGTCTTGGAAAGCATAAACTTGGAGCATTCAGCATCTCTCACACTCCTGTCAGTGTTTCCTTTGAAGTACGTATTGGGGCTTATCTACCAAAAGATGGGTTATATTTGTTGTGTCCATAAAGCAGTACTTGGCCATTGTCTCGGGGTATGTTTAATTCCTCTAAATGTTGAATATTTATCATCTTTTTCTGTTTGTATTCCCTAGTTCTGTCCATCAGTATAGGCTTGGGATATGTAACCAAAATATACTTGCCTTTCTCTAGGCACTGGCTGCAGGTGAGGACAGCAGCAGTGTTATTCTTCAGTTCTCGTGATAGGCACACAGATGTACGTACACATACAGGCTATATGATTCCATAAAACTTGAATGCAGATTCCTTGTCCTCATGGTAATGAGCTTTTAGTGTTGAATCACAAATAGTTTGAAGCAGGCCTGTGTTCCTTTTGGCCACCGGTCTTGAATTAGTCAATGAAGGTAATGATTCTTTCTGATTGCCTGGTTCATTGCTACACAGAGTACTGTACCTTTGTTATAGATTAGGCAGGATGCCTTAGGTTTAAAACTATTTTTATACACTAGCTTTTTTTGTATAAAAGGCAGAGACAATCATCTTAAAATATGAAATGCTATTTTTCTGCACAAATGTCACACGCTGAAACATTGTTACCGTTCCCTGTAACTCTGATCTGTATGAAATAAACTTCACAGATAAAGCAATTTTTGTTTTCATTATAATGGCAAAAAATGTACTGGTACTGGTCATACCAAGTTGTTAATTAAACTATGAACACAAGGAACCAGCAAGGTCAAGAACTAGTAATCAGATCTTCTGCTTTCCCTCTTCATCTAGTTGGTGATTAGACAGAGTTACACTTCTAGGACAGTAAGAACTCTTCTTCCAACTCTTAACTTCTTCCTACAACTCTTAGGATGCTACTTGTTGCCCTTCCTGTGATGGCTTGCACTTATTATCAAGGCCCATTGTTAAAATCTCTTTATTGTAAAAATCATAATCTAACAGTCACCATTTTCTTTTTTCTTTTCTTTCTCTTTGAGATGGGGTCTCCCTCTGTTGCTCAGGCTGGCCTCAAACTCCTGGGGTCAAACAGTCCTCAGCCTCCTGAGTAGCTGGGGCAGCAGGTGCATACCACTACATCCAACGAAAAGTCATTGTTGTAATTGAAGTGTACATTCACAAGGTTGTGTAGGCGTCCCCACTATCTAGTTCCAGAACATTTCAGAAAAGATATCTATTCCCCTGGCCTTTTAAATCTTGAATCCTTGAATTCAGTGCTTGACTCAGAAGAGGAAACCTATCTCTACATTTCTTAATTTCTTTATTCTTTCTTTTGCTCACTTTTTTTGTTTGATTGATTGATGGATTGATTTTTGGTACTGAGGATTGAACCCAGGGAACCAGGGGCACTTACTTAACCACTGAACCACATTCCCAGTATTTTTTTATTTAGAGACAGGGTCTCACTGAGTTGCTTAGGGCCTCACTAAGTTCCTGAGGCTGGCTTTGAACTCAAAATCCTCTTGCCTCAACCTCCGAAACCCTTGGGATTATAGGTTTGTGCCACCACACCTGGTGATACTTGCTTGTTTTTTAAAGTCAGGCAGTTTGTGTGCTATTTTATATGTACATTTTCTTCATTACATTACTGTTAACTGTGAATGATAAAGCAAATATTCTGATATACCCACAGATGTTTAGTTTGAACCTTTTTTGGGGGAGGGGTAACCAGGGATTGAGTTTAGGGGCACTCGACCACTGAGCGACATCCCCAGCCCTATTTGTATTTTATTTAGAGACAGAGTCTCATTAAGTTACTTAGGGCCTTGCTTTTGCTGAGGCTGGCTTTGAACTCATGATCCTCCTGCCTCATCCTCCTGAGCCACTGGGATTACAGGCATGTGCCACATCCGGCTGTTTAATGAACTTGCTTTCCTCCACTAAGTTTTTTGAAAAGGCCAGGTACTTGTTATCCCAGGTATTTGGGGTCTGGCAGTTATGTAGCCATTCCCCACTGGCCTTTCAAGAGCATTCTATGTACATTTGAATCAACACAAGCAGACACATCCCATTCCTGCCAAAGATACCACCTCCATGTATTTATCTGAGGAGTTCTTCACTGCCAAGTCAGGTACCAGGTACTGTTGCTTCATCTGTTGGAACTGCTGAACCAGAGTGTTCTGTTTACCACTCCAAGGTAACAGAATCCCTAGCCTTCTCCCTGCTTATCCCTTCATGTTTCCCTCCCTCTATAGCTTTTAGATGCCCTCTCCCTGAGACACAGATCTCTGGCCACTACCAGGTTTTACAGATGAGCACATTTCTTACATCACTGTTATCATGGGCACTGCATGTAGAATGAAGCTTTACACAGCTTCAGTGCCTAGAAAACCCAGCAGTGCAATATGGGATCCTGTCAGTGCTCCACAGTACCCTGAAGACCTGAATCCTAGCCACAAGGATTTGTGTGTGTGTGACTTTGTGCACACTGCCTCTCCTCTCTGAGCCCTGTTCCTTGTCTATCAAATGAAGGGGGCTCTGGGCCCTTTTGGTTCTATAATTCTGACATTCCTAAATGCCACTCATTCTGGTCGGGGCCAGAACATCAGGAGATATGAAACAGGAGTTACTGCCAAGGAGCCAGAGGTGGAAGGCAAACTGTCCATCACTTAATCTTATCAGGGGTCAATTCCCTGTTGTTACTTTTAGTGCCCCACCCCTGGCCTGGTTTGTTTAAGCAGAACATCTCCCTTCCCAGCAGTCCAGTTAGTGTTTCCAGATGGGTCCTAGCTGCTCCTCTACTTCTCCAATTCTGTGGTATAATGGTGGTCAGCTCTCCATGTACCATATGCCAGCTCTTTAGAGACATCATTTTAAATCCTCACAAAACCCTATGAGGTGTGGTATTCATTTTTACCTACAGAACATTGCCATTTATACAGGTTGGCATTTTTTCCAGGTTGCACAACTAGAAAGAGGAAGAGCTGGTATTTGAATTTAAGTCTCTCCAACTCTGAAGACACCCCCATACTGCTATGGGAGTAAAATTGTCTTTTGGCTTACAAGGTAGGTCAGGGACACCAGAGCAGTGTCTTTGGTGCTGGGGAGAAAATTTTTGCTAACATTGATTACATTTACTGGATGCCAGTCACCCCACTCATTAAGCACTCATAATCATGTCATCTGCATGTGATTTGGCAAAGTAGGAGTCTCATTTTAAAGGTGGAAAACAACAAGCTCAGAGAGGTTAGGGAACTGCCAAAGATCTCATCGCTAAGAGATGGCAGGCAGCCTGGCTCCCGACACCATCCTATTAGCCATAGTTGGCCTGTTTTGAGATTCTGATCCCCTTTGAGGATGAAAATGCTTCTTTATTGACAACGTGGTAAGTAGAAATTTACCCTCATTCCTCCTGAGCCTTACAGTTGTTGCTTTTTCAACACACACAATTGCCTTCTAAAGTATTGAGCATAGTGCATGGTAGTTTCCTTATTGTGATGCATTCCTTTTTATGACAATGCAGTGTCACCATTGATAAACTAGAGGGTGTGGCTTGTCAGGCAAGCTTCTCAACCCATCTGAACCTCCATTTTCTCATCTAGAAAATGGAAACCATGGACCTAGCATGGGCTGGAGGAGCAGATCCAAAATGTATGAGGTATTTGCTTCTGAAGATGTTTAAGTACTAAGTGCTGAGCAATTGCTGAAGGCAGACACTTGATAGGCCTCCATGTCTTAGGTGAAGAAGGTGGTGGGGGCAATCTGTTGGGAATGTGGCCAAGTAGTGGAGTGGCTGTATTAGGAATGTTAGGCAATGTGCCTGTTCCTCAGTAGAACTCAGGCCACTAATTCAGGTTTTGTGGACTGGGGGTGAAGGTAACAGAATGGAGGCAAGAAAAGAATGATTGAGGTGCTGGGAGCAATCTAGGACAGATTTGGAGGGGAAGTAAGGGTAGGAAAACAGAGGAGTTTAGAGCAATGAGCAGACTATAGAGGCCAAGGAACCAGCAAGGTGAGTGCCAGTTTCCAGAAGGACAGGAGTTCTGGGTAAAGGAGGGTGAGCTTGGGTGTGGAAAGGCCCATCGCCTGGCCCAAGTGGACCTTGCAGAAGTGGAGATCACTGGGGTGCTGTCATGGGCTCTCCTGGGGAAAAGGGCATAAGCCAGGTTCCAAGTATTCAGGGAAGGGAGTGGCTTGTCTGTCCCAGGCCCATCTCCTTTGGGTTTTTTTTTTTTTTTTTTCCTTGCTGTAGTTTCAAGAACCTGCTCCCTTGAGAAGCAGAGAGAACAGCTGCTCTCCACTCCCTAATCCACCATCCCTGCTCCCTGGGGTCCCCAGAAGACTGGACAGACTCTCTGTTGGTTTAAAGGTTTTGACATCGAATTTGATCTAGAGAAACACAAGAGGATGTTCCATGTTCTTAAAAACGTTCATGGTCATGCAAGGCCCATGTTCAATCTCTAGCACCAAAAACCAAAACAAAAACCCCAGTGTTTTTTGACAGGTTTCTATCCTCTTCTGAGATGGTAAATGTTAGCTACTAAGGGATTCTGCCCTAGCCATGGAGCCCATCAAAACCTAACACCCTCTCGTCCCTCCAACTCTGCCTGTTAGCTGAAGTGCAATGAGGAGATGCCCTTAGGGCCTGTTAGACCCTTCCATGCCAGAAGGCAGGCACAGTAGCTTTCTGATGCCCTGGGACTCCTGAACTATACAGAACCCACCACAAGGGTGTGGGTGGGATGTGTGAACCGCTTATGTCAGTGTGTGGTGATCTGAAAGCTATAGCAACTGGGGAGCTGTATGCTGGACCAGCCTCTTCCTCTGCCCACACTTCTTCTAGCCCCTCAGTCCTAACAAGAGACATGGGCCCAAACCTCATGGAGGAAACTGGGTCTCATTAAAATAGACAGCAGAGATTATGCAGTTGGGCTACAGTAGTGCTCAGCATGGATCATGGCCTCCAGAGGGCCCAAGAAGAAAGGAGCCAAGAGGAAGATCCTTCTGAAACAATCAGGGACCATGATTACTTCTCAGTGACATGCCTCATCTAGGATTGCCTCCCCACCCCACTCACACCACCCTGGCCAAATAGAATCAACTCATCCTTTTTAAGAGATGCAAACCTGGGGCATGCTATTTTGGGGTCAGAGTGGTCACTAGGTTTTATTTTTTAACTAGATCAAAGTGGCATTATAGGCTTGTTTATAATCTATGTTCAGAGTAATTGCACTGAGCTGAGGAAAATCTCTCAGAAGAAGTTACTTGGATTTCCAGTTTAGTACTATCAGGTTATAGTGCTTCCTCTGTGCAGAATTGAAAGACAGGAGGCAAGTTCTTTCTATGCTTCTTTATTTCTGTAAGGATACACTGAAACGTTAGATGATAATATCTAATGACAAAATGTAGAAATGAGGCATTGGCTTCTATAACCACTTCTACAAGAATGTTAATATGTATTGTCATTACATTTTACTTTTGATATTGTCTCATTATACTATGTAATATAATAATGAAGAATACAGTAAGTAGGTGATCCTGCATTTCAGGGAAGCAGGAAGTGGCAATCTGGTTCCGCTGGTAAGGACGGTGGCCTCCCCACTCCCCCAGAGATCCAGCTAAACTCTTAAGGAAAAGTCTTAGTAATCACAAGAGAAGGGACTTTGCAGTCCTCTTGAACACACGGACAAAGAGCAGACAA